CCTTCCACTACACTTCACTACACTACACTACTCTCCACTACACTACAACTACAACTACAACTACACAATTGCGCACCACTACACTCCACTACACTAAATTACACTACACTACACAACATTACACTACACTACACTCCACTACACTGCACTCCACTACACTACACTACACTACACTACATTACACTACACTACACTCAACTACACTACCACTACGACTACGCAACTACACTCCACTACACTCCACTACAACTACAACTACGACTACACAACTACACTCCACTACACTCCACTACACTAAATTACACTACACGACACTACATTACACTACACTACACTACATTCCATTGCACTCTACTACACTACATTACACTGAATGACACTGCACCACGGATAGATAGATAGATAGATAGATAGACAGACAGACAGATAGATAGATAGACAGATAGACAGCTAGACAGCTAGACAGATAGACGGATGAAAGCGAGAGAGAGAGAGATAGATAGATAGATAGACAGACAGACAGATAGATAGATAGACAGACAGATAGATAGGTAGACAGATAGACAGCTAGACAGCTAGACAGATAGACGGATGAAAGCGAGAGAGAGAGAGAGAGAGAGAGATAGATAGATAGATAGGTAGGTAGGTAGGTAGGCAGGTAGGTAGGTAGGTAGATAGTCAGAGAAACAGAGAGAAACAGAGAGAAAGAGAGAGAAAGAGAGAGAAAGAGAGAGAAAGAGAGAGAAAGAGAGAGAAAGAGAGAGAAAGAGAGGAGACCTCAAGCACCTTTCGGTCCATCAGTGGATTCGTTCTGCCATCCCTGACTCACAACAACCAAGCTCTCCTATAGGTTTCCTATGTTTGAAACTTCCGCCACCGCCTTGTGCGGTACTACTGGTAAGCGTGAGTAACGCCAACAGGTTACCTTGGAGGCTTATATCTGAGGGCTAACGATCGCTTGCGGCAGGCGACCATCCAAGCTAAAATGCCTTCGTCATCGGTGGAACCGACAGGCCATCCCAATCGCATCACTTCTTGGCACGTCACACTCGCCTGAGCTTTCCACCCGCATAGCTGTCTTGCGTAGAGAAGCTTGAGGAGAATTTGCCTGCATGATGATGCAGTCCAAGGCCTCGGATCACAAGCTTCGCCGATATCATTGGCGCATATTGACGCAAGAGATAGATTGATGTATTTATATATGTACATATATATATATATATCGCAATACATGCAATAATTGAGGCAAAACAAAGTTTGAAGTCTAACTTCCGTGTTCCGGATCTTTGGAATGTCACAGCAAAGGGATGTCAAAGGAAAGGTCAAAAGAAAGGGATGTCAAAGCAAAGGGATGTCAAAGCAAAGGGATGACAAAGCAAAGGGATGTCAGCGCAAAGGCATGTCACAGCAAAGGGATGTCGAAGCAAAGGAAGGAAGGTCAAAGCAAAGGGATGTCAAAGCAAAGGGATGACAAAGCAAAGGGATGTCAGAGCAAAGGCATGTCACAGCAAAGGGATGTCGAAGCAAAGGAAGGAAGGTCAAAGCAAAGGGATGTCGAAGCAAAGGGATGTCAAAGCAAAGGGATGCCAAAGCAAAGGGATGACAAAGCAAGGGGATGTCACCGCAAAGGCATGTCAAAGCAAAGGGATGTCAGAGCAAAGGCATGTAAAGCAAAGGGATGACAAAGCAAAGGGATGTCACCGCAAAGGCATGTCAAAGCAAAGGGATGTCAGAGCAAAGGCATGTCAAAGGAAAGGGATGTCAAAGCAAAGGGATGCCAAAGCAAAGGGATTTCACAGCAAAGGGGTGTCAGAGCAAAGGCACGTCACAGCAAAGGGATGCCAAAGCAAAGAGATGTCAAAGCAAAGGCATGTCACGGCAAAGGAATGTCAAAAGGCATGCCACAGCACAGGGATGTCACAGCACAGGGATGTCAGAGCAAAGGCATGTCGCAGCAAAGCGATGTCAAAGCAAAGGGATGTCAAAGCAAAGGCGTGTCAGAGCAAAGGGATGTCAAAGCAAAGGGATGTCAAAGCAAAGGGATGTAAAGCAAAGGCATGTCAAAGCAAAGGGGTGTAAAGCAAAGGCATGACACAGAAAAGGAATGTCAAAGCAACGGCATGTCACAGCAAAGGGATGTCAAAGCAAAGGGATGTCAGAGCAAAGGCATGTCACAGCAAAGGCATGTCTCTGTGTAAAAGCTTCTCTGTGTGAAAGCTTGCTGTGTGTCGAGCTTCTCTGTGTAAAAACTTTTTTCTGTGTGGTAGCTTCGCTGGGTGAAGGCTTGCTGTGTGCAAGAGCTGTGTAAAGGCTTGCTGTGTGTAAAAACTGTGTAAAGGCTTCTGTGTAAAAGCCTTCTGTGTGTAAAAGCGTCTCTGTGTACAAACTTTTCTGTGAGAGCACGCTGAGAAGAGCTGAGATGAGGTGAGACGAGCTGACAAGAGCTGAGACCAGCTGAGGAGATGTGAGAAGAGCTTAGAAGATGTGAGAGGAGGAGAGAAGAGATGAGGAGACATAAGATGAGCTGACAGGAGCTGCGGAGAGCTGAGAAGAGTTGAGAAGAGCTCTGAAAATCTGAGAAAAGCTGAGATAACCTGAGATGAGAAGAGATGAGAAAAGCTCGGGTGACATGAGAAGAGATGAGAGCAGTTGCGATCAGCTGAGAAGAGCTGAGAGAGGGAGAGAAGACATGAGATGGGATAAGATGAGATGAGGTGAAAAAAGCTGAGAAGACATGAGATGAACTGAGATGACTTGGGATGACACGGACTGCAGTGACAATGGCATGCAATGATCAATTTCCAAGAAAAGCTGCGACGCGATGAGACCAGATGAAATGAGAAAGATCAACAGTCAAAAGACATGGCACCGGAATGACAAGTCAAGAGATTGTTGCGCGAAGCACAGGACGCTTGCCTGTCACTTATAGCCACAGTCTTTGTACCGCTCTATAGGCGAAAAGCGTTTCAAAGTTTCAAACTTGAAACTTCCGCCCCCGGCTTGCCCGGGAACTACTTGATTACTATACAGTATGTATATATATATATGTATATATAGCGCAATATGTACTTTGATCCAAGAGTATACAAACTCGAGCTGTCATGACAATTTTCGGCACTGGCACAGTCATTTGCACGCTGGGACAGCGCTAGCATGGCTTCATGAAACAAAGATACACTTACACTTTAGGACGTGCCTTAGCCTCTTTGCCTGTGAGGCCTTAGAGCTATCCATAAAATCTCTAGAGCTATTCATGAAATGACAGTCAAATCCCCAGAGCTATTCCTAAAACAATGGCCAAAAATGTAGAGCTATTCCTAAAGCCATGGCCAAATCAGTAGGGTTATTCCTAAAAATATTGTTGAACTGGAAAGCATATTCCCAAGAATGGTCAACTTGTATCATGGCATGAATAAACCACAAAGTTGACCACATACTAGCCATACACAAACACTACCAATGTAAACATAAGGTATGTGTTAGTTCATGAACTCGGTCACAAAAATGGGAACATAGAGTATCAAATCATGCAACCATGCATATGGGGCTAACATTCTCTATTTGCATTGCAGCTGCATAACAGAAAGTTCCATTACAAGCGCGCTACTTCTCACGTAGGTATATCCTCAAAGTACATGCAAGGGAACTAAGCAACGTACCTATACGACAAACCAAAACTCGTTCAAGTAAACCTTCAAAGAACACCACTTACATACTGTGCTGAAAATTGTGGCTGGCTCTGAGATCATTGGAGTCATTAAATGATGACTACTCTATGACTATGGACTTACACTAGGAGACTATGACTATGCTTTGATTTGATTCGAGATCAGACAAGTTAATAGTCAAAACTGAAGTTTAGAAACCAATAGCTTACGGCTCTAACTGAGGTACTAAAGGAGATAACCAATAATTGACTAAGTGACGACCAACTAGATAAGAAATGTCAAGTTTCACGAATCATCGTCATGAAAAAACGAATATCAAACACCATCAACAAAATGCATCATACCAAAAAAACTGATTTATGATCAACTTTTTTGATAGGGTAAGATGCCTAATGTTAATGAGTAAGTGGTATGCTAAGGAATGGCTCGGAGCGGTTCAGAGCGGTTCCTCAGCATGATTTTAGGAATAGCTCGGAGCGGTTCAGAGCGATTTAGAACCATTTCTAAAAAAACCTTTAAAGAATGCATATAGTTCAGAGCGGCTCAGAGCGGTTCAGAGCGATTTCTAAAATTTGAAAGCTTATGAATGGTTCTAAATAGCTCAGAGTGGTTCAGAGCTATTTCTAAAACATGGCTGAGGAATAGCTCGGAGCGGTTTAGAGCGATTCCTCATCACCCTGAAATCACGAATGTAGTCTCATCCTGTT